AATCGAATAGCGCGCACGTTTGCGGTTTCGCCGACAGCAATCAAACGACAGCTTTTACGATTTGAGAGCGGTGGGCTCCTGGTGAGCCGAGTCGTTGGGAAATCTAGAGTATTCACCTGGAACCCGCGCAGTTCTACGGCAAAAAATCTACGTAAGTTTCTTGAGGCAGAGTTAGAGAAACTACCAAAGGAAGTCCAGCAGCAATTCTTCAGACAAAGGCAGCGTCCGCGCAGATCTGGCAAGCCACTAGAGAGTTCTGTTGGAAATTGATACGGACACGACAGATTTAGAGTTGGCTGTTTTGGTTAGCCAAACGCTTGAGGAAGCAGGTATAACCGCAACGCTGGTTGGAGGTGCAGCTGTAAGCATCTATTCAGACAACGAATACAAGTCGATGGACTTGGATTTTGTTACAGCTGCAATGCGAGATAGTCTCGTTGCTGCACTTGCGCCACTGGGGTTTGATCTCTCCCAAGACAAGCGCCATTTTGATCACCCGAACACTAATTTTTACGTTGAATTCCCGCCATCACCGTTGGAATTTGGTAGTCGAACGGTACAACACGAAGAAATCCCAAGGCTGGAAACGGTGTGGGGTCCGCTCCGGGTCATTACTCCGACACTTTGCGTGATGGATCGATTGGCAGCGTTTTGGCATTGGAATGATAGGCAATCCTGGGATCAGGCTGTAATGGTAGTTCGTCATTCTGAGATAGATTTCGATGATTTAGTGGCGTATGCACATGAAGAGGGCGCACCCGCCACCGATATTGAAAAGCTGCAGGTTGCTGCGCGAGGGTCAAACTAGCCAATTCCTGACTGATTGTAGCTGTGACTCATCACCGTCGCGCCCCCAATTGTTGGCAAAGTCGCGTCTAGATACTTGTTATAGAAAAGTGTCTTGTTGCAATAACTCTCAACAATTCGGTCTTCTGAAGCGAGCACTCTACAGCAGCGATTTTCTAAGTCGTTGTTGTAGGTAGTTGTGAAGTTTTGACAGTTAAATCCTGCCGTCCGAAAAGAAACTGGAACTGTTTAAAAAGGTTACGCAACCCTTCGTAGTCCAGAGGTAGACGAGCACTGGGTCTTGCATGCTGCCCAACACTGGGGGGCGGGCCCGCTTAACGTGATCTGTAATGACCAGGCGACCTGTGAACGAGTATCAGGTGGTCACTGCTGAAGGCATCACCACAGGCCCAACTTGCGATTGTCCCAATTCAGGATGCGCTCATCCGGCGTGAACCGAACCACGCCATTTATGGCTTTGGTATAAGCTTCTCTAGTCTCTTTAGGCATGGCACTGGTGGTGGTGCGGTATTTGCTGTACTTACGATCCAGTTCGGTTCGGTATCTGGCGGACAGCGTGTCATCCAGGTCCACAATCTCAGCGTGGCCGGTCATGTGAACGGCGCGTAGCTTCGACCAATGCTGACCTTCTTCCACTAAGAAACTGGCTCGGGGATCGTTTAGGATGCGTTTGAGCTTTTTACCGCGTGTGCCAATAAAAATGAGGTTGTCGAGGCACACATACCATATCGGCAAAGCTATTGGCATACCGTCAGAACGTAAGGTAGTGAAGATTCCTGTATGGCCTTCCTGTACAAACTGCCATATTTCATCTTCAGACATGCGTACGGTTGGCTTCGCTGTGCTTTCCTCAGGCATGACGGGTCTCCTGAGTTAGTTTCTCCACATTACCCATCATTTCGATTCTCCCCCGCTGAGTATCAGCTCAGCCAATTTCTGCCGTTGATAGGTGGCGTCACCCCACAGCGTCTGGCTGTGCAGTTGGCGCTTCAAATAAATGTGTACGAAGCTCTCCCAGGTAAAACCGATGCCGCCATGCAGCTGCACCGACTTCCTCGATCCGAACGAAGCGACGTCATTTGCAGCGGATTTGGCCATACGAGCGTACAGCTCTGCATTGTCCGGTTCATGATCAATGGCACACGCGGCGTTATATAGATGGGCACGTGCCAGGTCTATCGCCACCATGAAATCCGCCAACGGATGTTTTACCGCCTGAAAGAAACCCAGGTTGCGATCGAACTGTTTGCGGGTACGCGCATAGTCTGCTGTTGTCTGCAGCTGCCATTCCGCTGCACCACACATGTCGGCGCAGATCATTGCGAGCAGCGCCGGGGTGGCGTGCTGCAGCGCGGCCAACGCTTGGCCTGGCGCGCTGACAATCTGGCTGTCTTCGATGGCGACCTGATTGAACCGCAAGCAAGCCTGGTCGCGGGTCAGATCAATGATTGTATTAGGCTCGATCGTGAGCCCGTCCAGATTTGCTGGTACAACCACTAGAGTTGGTTCGCTCTCGCGTTTGGCGTTGACCAGGAAATAGTCGACTTTTTGAGCATCCTGCACGAAGTAGAGCGCGCCGTTCAATTGGTTATCTTCCAGTACCAGTTCGGAAGCATTGTGTTCCCAGGCGCCGAATTTATTGCTGGCGCCATAGCTGAATGTTTTGCCTTCGCAGATGAGACCTAACGCGTTGTCCGCATTGTTAGTGCCGCAAGCGCCGAGAATGTAGGATGTGCTCAGCGTTGCAATGAGCGGTCCGGGAAGGGCGGCACGTCCGGCCTGCTCCACTAAACTGGTGACCGCGACGGCAGGCATACCCATGCCGCCCACGCGCTCCGGCACGGCCACCATCAGCCAACCCAAATCTACAACTTGTTGCCACAAGTCCTTGTCCCAGCGGCTTACCGAGCCGTTGGCCAGGTCACTGTCCTGGGCTACCAACTGGTGCAGCTTGTGCGTGGGTAGATTGTCTTGGAAAAATTTCTCCGCAACATCTTTTAGTGCAAGAGCATCAGCGTCGAAGCCGAAGTCCTTGGGTTGTTTTGCGGTTTGCATTGATTTCGTCACAGTAAGTTTTCCCTGTATTTATTTGCTCTTGTCCAGACCAAGTACTCGCTCACCCAAAATGTTTCTTTGAATTTCACTGGTGCCCGCGGCGATGGTGCCGCCGAATGAACTCAGATAAGACAGAGGCCACTTGCCTTGATCCGGTGCGTGTTTATCGAAGTTGGATAGCGTTCCAGCCGGCCCCTCGATCTCTAAGGCAACTGCCGCGGCGTCTTGCTGGTATTCGGTAGCTAACAGTTTATCCTGGAGCGCCAGGCGTTGCTGGTCCACTAACCCGGTTACGCTGCGAATGCGGCGATGTTGTTTGATGCCCACTTGGCGCACTAACATTTTCATGACCTTGTCACGTATAACCGCGTCGTCTGCTGCCGGGCTGCCATTGCGTGTGCATTGCTGGGCGAGTTTGAGCAGCGGAAATTCATTGATACCGTTTTCCTTTTTCACTTCGGCACCCTGGCCACCGGACGAAGGAGAGGTCAGGGGGCCTGCGCCGCGTTCGTGGGCCAGCGTGGTCATGGCTACCTGCCAGCCTTTGCCGACGTCGTCGAGGCGGTAGGCATCGTCGATTTCCAGGTTCTCGAACAGCTCTTCGTTGAAGCCTGTCTCACCGGTGATCTTGATGAGCGGTCGGACCGTGACCGTCTTGTCGAGCTCTGATTTGATCGGCACCACAAAGTAGGTCAGACCATTGTACTTGTCCGACTTGTCGGTGCGTGCGAGCAGGATCATCCAGGTGGCAAACTGTGCAGTTGAGGTCCACACCTTGTGCCCGTTGATTACCCACTTGTCCCCTTTTCGCTCTGCAAAAGTTTGCACACTGGCCAGATCGGAGCCGGCGCCGGGCTCACTGAAGCCCTGGCACCACAATTCTTCACCGGACAACAGCTTAGGCAGCAAGCGCCGCTTCAGATCTTCCGACCCATGAAAAAAGAGGGTGGGCGCGGCCATCCCAAGCCCGATGGCACCGGGCATGATCGGTGTCCTGGCGCTTAACATTTCCTGGTTGGCAACAGACTGGCAGCGGGTTCGTCCGCCGCCGCCGTACTCCACCGGGTAATCGCAGCCCACCAGGCCTGCGTCGTAGGCCGCCTTCTGCCAGGCGCTGTAATAGGCCAGATGTTCCTCAGTTGCCAATTCCGCGCCGCTTTTCAGCGGCTTGAAGCTTGGCGGTGGTGGTACATTGCTGGCCAACCAATCCCGGCAGTATTGCCTGAATTCCTGTTGTTCAGGGGTGTCCCGTTTAGCGTTGTCTGACATGTTAAGCTCCTTTCATGCGAGGGATTTGTGTAGTTTACTTACCCGTGAACTCGGGTTTGCGCTTCTCAAATATCGCGCGCCTTGCCTCTTTACCGTCACTGCTGGCTAAGCCTTTGCCGGTATAATGCAGTTCCGTTCGCACGAGCGCTTCGAGGTCCTCAGGCAATCCCACTTGTGTGACCTGCAATTTGGTCTGGGTGGCAGACAATGGCGCAACCTTGGCGATCTTTTCGCAATAGGCAAGAAATGCTTCCGAGAAAACATCTGCAGGCACTACCTCGCCGATCATACCCATGGCGAGTGCCTGCGGTGCGTCGATGAATTCAATTTCAAGCAGAAATCGCATCGCGCGCTCATGGCCGACCGCCTGCGGCAGTGTCCAGGTCAGGCCGCAGTCGGGTGAGGTGCCAACGCGTGCGTAGCCCGGGTGAAATGAAGCATCGCTACTGGCCATGCGTATGTCGCAGCACATGGCCAGCGACAGACCGGCACCAATGGCCAGGCCATTAATGCCTGCAATGACGGGTTTCTGGCAGCGCACACGGATACCGGTTACCAGCTGCACGACCCTCTCCACTGTGTCCTCCGCACTGTCGCGACTTCGACCCGGGCTCAAATCAGCACCAGCGCAAAAAGTATCGCCAATTCCGGTGATCCCGATGACTCTGACGGCCTTGTCGGCGCTTGCATCGTCTATGGCGGTAACCAGTGCTGTCATGAGTTCGCCTGATAACGCGTTCTTCTTCGCTGGGCGATTGAGTTTAAGAACACGAACGTTGCCGTATGTTTCTTCGAGTAAGACCGGTTCGTCTTCGCTGGCGTCTTTGTTCATTCTGGTAGTCTCCGTTGATTCAGGTTGCTGTTTGATTTCAGCGCACCACACCTTGGGCATACAGGTCGTCGATTTCCGGATCAGAGAAATCGAATTGCTGCAGGATGGCACGTGTGTGTTCGCCAATGCCGGGCGCAGGCCCTTGAATGTGCGCAGGCGTTGCAGAGAATTTGGCGGCGGGTCGCGCCTGGCGGATCTTGCCAATACCCGGATGATCAAATACCTCAATAAGTTCGTTGGCAATGATCTGTTCATTGTTCGGTAGATCGGCAGGGGTCAGTATCGGGCCGCAGGGCACATCGTGTTCGTCAAATAGCTTAAGCCAGTGAGCGGAGGCTTGTTGCTCGAAAATTGGAGAAAGTAATTCAATCAGCGTTGCGCTATTGGCGACCCTGCCCGCAGGGGTGTTGAGTCGGTCGTGATTTAACCACTCCGCTTTGTCCAGCGCAGTACATAAGCCTTGCCACTCAGCTTCGGATACAGCTGCAGCGGTGATGTAGCCGTCAGTCGTTCTGAATATCAGCTCACCTCTGCGCGCGGTGCCTGTTGGTGGCGGATTCTCGCCGTTTTCATCGACACGCATGTTGTTGGCCATCATGCTGGGCCAGATTAGCGCAATCATCGCATCAATCATCGCGACAGTGACATGTTGACCTTGGCCAGAGCGTTCACGTGCCAGCAGTGCGGCGGTGATGGCCTGGGCCGCGGTTAATGCGGTCACGACATCGGGTATCAATGTCTTGATCATCTCAGGCCGCTGCCCGGGGCCACCTTGAACAGCGTTCAACCCCGACATGCCCTGAATGATGGGATCGTAGATACGTTTGTTTATGTATGGACCCTTGTTGCCGAAGCCTGAGATTGAGCAGTAAACGATGCTTGGGTTGACTTGTTTTAGAGTGTCGTAATCCAATCCCATGCGTTCCACCGCGCCGGGTCGAAAATTCTGTACCACTACATCCACGTAGGGAACGAAGCGTTTGATCATCTCATTGCCTGACTTATGCTTGAGGTCGATGGCGATGCCCTTCTTGCCTCGATTGCTGGCTACGAAGGTGGTGGTGAATCCGTCAACACTTTTCTGAGTATGACGCATGATGTCTCCATCGAAGGCTTCCACTTTGATGACCTCGGCGCCTTGGTCGCATAAATAGTTGGTTGCCAGTGGGCCGGACAAAACAGCGGATAAGTCAAGTATTTTAAAGCCAGATGCAGGGCCTCTCATTGCTCAGTCCTTGTAAATTGAGATTCTGTGGGGCGCATTAAGTCGGCCAGTTGCGCATCTGCGGTTGGGGCGAAAATGGCATCCAGGTCGGGTCCGCGCCGGAGTGAGTGGCCGCCGTCTACCCCCAGTAATTGACCTGTGATCCATGCCGCTTCGGGCCCGGCAAGAAAACGTACTGCGGCTGCCACATCTTCAGGTTTACCGAGTCGTTTGAGTGGCATTTGCGCCAGGTAGTCTTCACGTACGGCATCAGTCTGTTGCAATCCCGCGGCCATTTCAGTGGGTACCAACCCTGGTCGCACACCATTCACACGGATGCCATAGTGCCCAAGTTCGTCGGCGCTGTTGCGCACCAGCATTTCAACGCCTGCTTTTGCGACACAGTATTGACCGAGGTTGCGATGTGTCAGATGACCCGCGATAGACGATACGGCAACGATGGCGCCGCCATTGCCACGGCTCATAATGGGAGCCGCGTGTTTGATTGTCGACAGTGTGCTGGTTAACGTGAGTGCCAGCGTTGCGTTCCATGCTTCAAGATCGGTCAACACCAGGGGGCCTGCGGCGGCACCGCCACCGGCGTTGGCGACTGCTATATCCAGACGGCCGAGGGGTTCTGCTGCAGCTTCTACCGCAGCTTTGACCTGACTGTCATCGGTGACGTCGCACACAACGTATTGCGCATCATTACCAATCTCATCCAATGCAGCAGCGAGCACTGCCTCACGACGTGCACAGATTGTCACTCGACAACCATCATGAGCCAGGCGTTTTGCGATACCGAGACCGAGTCCCGTGCCGCCGGCTGTTACGAGAGCTGCGGTTCCTTCTAGACTCTTCTCCACTGCTGCTTTACCTCTTAGTTGTGTGGGAGTCGCTGAACCAATGCACTAGACAGAATGATGTCAGTCTGACAGTTCGTTGATGCCTGCGACGGCATTTACTGTTTACTTCAAATCGAACGTTAACTAGGATACTAGTTCTTGATGGGGGCGCAAGTGCGAGGGGAGTGATCATTGTCCGAATTGGATGTATTTCGTCGCGAAGCTCGCGCCTGGCTGGAGGAGAATTGTCCGGCCTCGATGCGTACCGATATGCCGGAGGAGGAAATTGTTTGGGGTGGCCGCAGGCAGGTGTGGTTTCATTCAGAAGCAAAGGTATGGATGGAGCGCATGGCCGAACGAGGTTGGACCATCCCGCATTGGCCGAAAGAATATGGTGGCGCAGGACTCAACCTGGATGAACGCAGGGTCCTCTTCGATGAAATGGACCGAATCAACGCTAGAGTCCCCCTGCAGAGCTTTGGCATATGGATGCTTGGGCCCGCGCTTCTCGAATTTGCCAGCGAGGAACAGAAGCGACACTACCTACCGCAAATTGCGAGGGGCGAGATTCGGTGGTGCCAGGGATATTCCGAACCGGGCAATGGATCCGATCTCGCCGGACTGCAAACCAAGGCAGAAGACAAGGGCGATCACTTTCTGGTAAACGGAGCCAAGATCTGGACTTCATACGCCGATCAGTCGGATTGGATCTTCTGTCTGGTTCGAACCGATCTGGACGCACCCAAGCATGAAGGCATCAGCTTTCTGTTGTTTGATATGGCCAGCGAAGGTGTCAGCGTCTCACCTATCCCGCTTATCAGCGGGGCTTCACCTTTCTGTCAGACATTTTTCGACAATGTCAAAGTACCGAAGAGTCAGCTCGTGGGCGAGTTGAACAACGGTTGGCCCATCGCCAAACGTTTGTTACAGCACGAGCGACAAATGGTATCCGTAATCCGCGGAAATTCGCCGTTAGCGCGTTCAACGAAACTGAAGCTCCATGCACTAGCGAAACAATATGCGGGTAACGGGGACCGCATTGTTGATGACTTTTTGCGCCGCCGCATCAGTCAGCATCAAATGGATGGCCAGGCGTTCAGGATTACCATGGCTCGAAGTGCCGAGGAGGCGCGCGCCGGACTTGCCGATGGCAACACAGCTTCGTTTATAAAGTACTACAACAGCGAGCAGAATAAACGCAAATACGACATCTTACTGCAGGTTTTGGGTACCAGGATGTTGGGTTGGGAAGGTGAAGGTTTTACAGATGGCGAGATCGATGTCACAAGACAATGGCTGCGCGCTCGCGCGAATTCCATTGAAGGGGGCACCAGTGAGGTACAGCTCAATGTTATCGCCAAACGAATTCTGGGGCTGCCGGACTAGATCAGTAAACTTAAGGGGAGAACATGAAGCTAGGACTTAGCATAGGCTATTCAGGTGGTGAGATGCGGCTACCGGTAGAAAAGGTGCAACTCGCGGAGCGGTTGGGCTATGACAGTGTCTGGACGGCAGAGGCCTATGGTTCTGACGCGTTGTCGCCATTGGCTTACCTGGCCGCCAAAACCGAGCGCATTCGGCTTGGTACCGGTGTTATTCAACTTGCGGGGCGAACACCCGCAAATGCCGCTATGACCGTTGCCACCATTGATGCCTTGGCGGGTGGCAACCGTGTGATCTGCGGCATAGGCGTTTCCGGACCGCAAATAGTTGAGGGCTGGTACGGCCAGCCTTGGGGGCGGCCTTACTATCGGCTGAAAGATTACGTCACCATTATGAAAAAGATTCTCGCCCGGGAAGAACCTGTGGTGCATGAAGGCAAAGAAATATCTTTGCCGTTCAATGGTGAAGGTGCCATGGGGGTTGGCAAGCCGCTGAAATCAATCCTGCACATGAATCCCGATATCCCCATTTGGCTCGGCACCGGTATGGAGTCAACGGTCAAACTGACGGCAGAAGTTGCTGACGGTTGGCTGCCGTTGGGGCTGGTGCCGGAAACCTGTAAGACTTATGAACCCTGGATAGAAGCTGGCCTCGAAAAATCGGGCAAGAACCGTTCTCAGTTCGAAACTCAGGGCGGCGCGGCAGTGGTCGTGACCGACGATGTACAATCCGCGCTGGATCGCATGAAGCCGGGCATCGCTTTATACGTTGGCGGTATGGGCCACAAAACGAAAAACTTCCACAAAGAAATGATGATCCGTCGCGGCTTTGGTGAAGCTGCGGAGCGCATACAGGAACTTTATCTAGCTAAGCAAAAGCGCGAGGCCATTGAGGCAGTGCCGGACGAATTTGTCGATCAGGGTGCTCTGGTGGGAGATAAAACGCGGATTCAAAAGCGCTTTCGAGATTGGGAGGACAGCGGTATCACCGGCTTGACAGTCAGCGGCAACGAAGAAGCCCTGCGCCTGATGGCGGATCTGGCCAGGCTCAATGTCGAGCCCTCTGCCTAGCAAACAATAATGTACATTTAAGGAGATACCTCTATGAGTTCCACTGATAACAATCAAGAACCGCCGCGCATGGTGAAATGGTCGCCACCATATCGGCGGGAAAACGTCGAAATGCCTGAATTCGATCTGATAGAAATCGAGCGCGATGCACCGATCGGTCGAATAATTCTCAACTCGCCTGAAAAGCGAAATCCGCTCGGCTACGAACGGCTGCTGCAGATCGAGATGGCGGCAAAGTTGCTGGAACTCGATGACTCTATTCGCGTGATCATCATCAAAGGGCAAGGACCAAGCTTCTGCGCCGGATACGACATTACGCCAGTCAAAAAAGGTGAACGGCAACGCAACATGCCGCCGGGTGGATACATTAATCCCAAACGTGATCGCTTGTGGCAGTCTTATGACCTGGAACATGCCCGTGTCTATATGACCTTGTTTGACTTGCAGAAACCAGTGATCGCGCAGATACACGGGGCTTGCCTTGCGGGTGGTAGCGAATTGGCTGGCTTCTGTGATCTGCGGGTTGTCGCAGAGGATGCCAAGATTGGCTGGCCAGTAGGCCGCAACTGGTCTCCTGGGAATCTGCAATATATCCCGTGGCTGGTGGGCATGACTAAAGCCAAGTATTACATGTTTACGTGTGAGCCGATGACCGGGCTCGATGCCGTGCAGTGTCAGTGGGCTTCTGAAGCTGTGCCCGAAGACAAGCTCGAGGAACGTACCGAAGAACTCGCGCAGCTCATCGCGCTGACCCCCACCGATCTAATCATGATGACTAAGCGCAGCATAAACCGGCAGTTCGAGGTCATGGGATTCAAAACCGGCATCGCGACCAGTGTTGATTTGCTCGCTCTTTCAAGCTTTCGTGATCAGGGATTGTATACACCCAGGTCTCAGGACGGCGAAGGTGGTGATGAGTTCATGCGACGTGCTGAGCGAGATGGTCTGAAGGCTGCGCTCAAGTGGCGCGAGGAAACTTTCGGTAATGCCTACCGCGGGTCAGAAGAAGGCGACTCGGAGCAGGATCAAACTGACTAAAGTTCAGGTTCCAGGCAGAGTCTCCGTCCAATATACGCGGTATTCGGACGGAGACGACCAGCCAAGAGCGCTGCGTGCAGGAAGCCGCTTTTTCTGAGCGCGCTACTTGGCGCCATCGAAAAACTCAGTAAATCCGGCTGGCGCATAGGGTCCCACGACTGCTTGCTCCAGCACGCCAATACCTTTTCGTTCTCCGTCCGAAGCCAGGACAACTTGCTGTGTGTGCAGATTCTCCCGTGCAAGCATGTCGAGCTGCCGTGGGTCGAATGACTCGCTGCCGGTCGCCAACTCACCCTTCCACATACCCTGACCCCATTCCGGATGACCGTAGCCGAGGCCTTTCATCTGAAATTTGAGAATGGGCTCGAGACGGATGGTACGAATTTCACCGTCTGTCTTTTCCAGGTCGATTTCTGCAGACGCGGCAAGACGGGTATTGGGATGGTAAGTAATTCTATGCCTTGCAGTGGCCATGCGCTCGTCTCTACCGTCCAGTACGCCTGGCACTTCGTCTTCAGCGGCATAAAGTGGTGCAATGATGCCTTCGCGGACGAGCGCTTCGCCGTTCGGTCCGTCGAAAAATATCGCGTGTGAAATGTGGTCATCCCAAAACAAAGGCGCCCATACAAAACAGATCCCGTCCGGTACAACTGGCGCGCCACCTGAATCCCGCTCGCCGACGCCACGCACCCCCCAGGAACGGTCCTTGGTGCCGTGACAGATGTCAGGTTCGACATCAATGTGACCTTCCGGGTGAGAGACTGTACCACTCCAACGCCCGAATTGATCGAAACGGGTAGCATCCATCACCCGCCGCGTGCCGCTCCACAAAGTTTGATGTGCTTCCTCGATGGATGCGCTGCGGGCACTAAAGGTGAGATCGCAGGTGATACCGCTTTCATTCTCATCCAGCACCACCCGTATCCGTTTCATAGGTTCGAGAATTTCTATCCGGAAGGGGCCACACGTCATGTCCGTGCGTTCCTGCGGTGCGCGGCGGGAACCATAAAAACAGTGCTGCAGCTTACCTGGCTGTACCACGCTGAACGCGCAGTCCAGAATGCCTCTATGTGGATAAATCGCCATGCCGATACCGAAATAATAAGAGCCATCATTTGCATAGCCATTGAACCAGGTTCTGTCGTACACGTTGCGGTCGCTGGTCGCGGGGTGCGCAATCGGTTCTGCAGTCTGGTGTATCGGATAGTCGTCGAGCTTATTGAGCATGTCGTTTATACCAACAGTAGATAATCGGAAGCAGGGTAAAGGTTACCTAGATTGGGTGCAGCCGTACCGGCACGTCTCTGATGCCTCGAATGAAGTTGTTCGATATACGTTCAACGTCTCCAACCACTTCAACCATGTGGAATCGCTTCATAATCTCTTCCCATAATACGCGTAGCTGAAGCTCGGCAAGGCGATTCCCCATGCACCGGTGCACACCGAACCCGAAGGCCACATGCGACCTTGCGTTAGGACGATCGATAATTAATTTGTCAGGATCTTCGAATACGGTTTCATCCCGGTTGCCTGATAAGTACCACATGACAACCTTGTCACCTTTTTTGATGTGCTGTCCGCCCAGTTCATAATCTTCGAGCGCGGTGCGCCGCATATGAATAACGGGCGTCTGCCAGCGAACGATCTCGGCAACCATGTTGGGAATCATTGTGGGGTTATCGCGCAGCTTCTGATACTGGTCGGGATACTTGTTGAGTGCAATTACACCGCCGCTGATGCTGTTGCGGGTGGTATCGTTGCCGCCGACGATCAATAGAATGATGTTGCCGAGGAACAGTTCAGGGTCTTCATTCATTTTTGCCGTTTCAGGGTTTTGCTGCAGCATGGAGATGAGGTCAAAAGACGGCGGCTGCCCCAATTTTGACATCCACAGTTCGTAGAATGCCGATGCGCAACCCATAAGTTCGTCATAGCGCTCCTTCATATCGATGCTGTGATCACCTGTGACCTGTGGAACCGCGGTGGCCAGGTCCGACCAGTGCACCAGCTTGCGGCGCTCTTCATAAGGGAAGTCAAACAGGGTGGCGAGCATTCTGGCGGTCAGCTCTATCGACACCTCCTGCACCCAGTTGAATGTTTTGCCCACGGGTAGGCTTTCCAGGATATCGATGGCCCTTTCGCGGATCAGCGGCTCGAGCTCTGCCAGATTCGTTGGCGCCACAGATGGAGAAACCGCGTTGCGTTGTTTGGCGTGTTCCGGTTCGTCCATCGCGATAAAATTTTTGCCTTGGATCTGACCTTCTATCGGCACGAGGTCGACGATCGAGATACCGCCTTTTTCCGAAGAAAACACGGTGTTGTTGGAATCGACTTCTTTGATCAACTTGTGACTGGTAACTGACCAGTACGGTCCATTTGCACTGTCGTTAAGGTAATGTACCGGTGCTTCTTTACGAAGCCTGGCAAACAACGGTTGCCAGGTGTCTTTTTGATAGAGTTCCGGTCGGCTGACATCGATTGCCGACAGTGGTGTAAAAGATTGGTTATTGGCTGGATCAGAGGGCATGTTTATCTCCAAGGTACATCTCATTGACCGATAATCATGATACTGATTATTAGTGAATGTTTACAAGGCGAAGGCAAATGTGTTTGCCGTATTGGTTGGGTCGTGACAGTGACTTTGGTTCTCGTTGAGCCCGATATGCGGAGTTCCACGGGCGCCCGCATACCTTATCGCTAGTTGATGATCACGAAGTTTCCAACGCCATATTTGTGTATTTGTCGGCAAGTGCCTGGATACCTGGCGATATCTCAACATCGTGGGGCGTGTAGTTCGGCAGGTATATACGCAACAAACCCGGCATAAGGCTTCCGATCCTTGCTGGCTGGACCGCTGCAAGCTTTTCTTCCCGATCCACTGCATCTTTTTCACGTTTTGGCTGCGGACGCACTTTCAGCATGTATGTCGTCACCCGACGTATCCAACGGGTGAAGTGCCACTGAGCCCAGATTCCAACGAACAGGCGATAGAAATAGTCTCCGAACACATGGTCATAGACGTCGAAGGCGATGGTGCGGTGTTCGAGTTCCTCAACAAAATGCCATTCAACCATCTGCATGAACAATGGCAGATCGTTACCAAAACCGTTCGGCTCCATCATGTGTTTGACGGCATTCATTGTCAGAGCTTCAAAACCCTCAGCATAAGCCAGGTTGAATTTTAGCGACTTAGTATTTGTAAAGCGGTGATAGTCATCAGACAGCTCTTTCTCAAAGGCTTCCAGTTCCGGAAACCCGGCGAGCCGTACAGTCTCGTTAAACTTTTTGTGCATCTGGTAATGCTGTGCTTCCTGGCGTACAAATTTATCCAGGCCATCTGCTACAACGGGATCAGTGACATGTTTTTCAGCCGCTTTCATTGATCGAATGAGGTAAGGCTCCAGGTGAGGTAGCAACAGCGAGCCAGCGATAAAACCGAATGAACGTTTGTGGTCCCCGTCAACGAATACAGCATCGATATCCGTGGGAAACTCAAACGGCATTTTCCGCACGGTAATCTCATCCAGCATGATTTGTCCTAAAAATTCAAAATGAGTTTAAATAGTATACTATTAATGTTCGCGCTGTGTTGTAAATAGAAAAAAGAACCCTTTTCGTTCGACCGTAAAGTACAGGAACAGGAACAGGAACAGGAACAGACAAATGGTGCAAAAAACATCCAAGATCGATGTACTGATACGTGGTGGAACGCTTGTTGATGGGACGGGTTCAGTACCGGTGACCGGAGACATTGCCATTGCTGGTAACAAGATTGTTGAGGTAGGCAGTAAAATCTATGCGCCACGAGCTAATGTCATTGACGCAGATGGCGCTGTCGTTGCCCCCGGTTGGGTCGATATTCACACGCACTATGATGGTCAGGTGACATGGGACGATACCCTTGATCCTTCATTCAGCAACGGCGTCACAACTTTTATTATGGGCAATTGTGGTGTTGGCTTCGCGCCCTGCCGCAGCGGTGACGAACAAGCCCTCATGGATGTGATGGAAGGTGTTGAAGATATTCCAGGTACAGCCCTGGCGGAAGGTGTGCCCTGGGGTGCGTGGCACACGTTTGAGCAATACCTCGATTACATTGGCCAGCGCAATTACTCGATGGACTTTGGCACCCAACTGCCACACAGCGCGCTGCGTTTGCAGGTAATGGGCGAGCGCGCCATGAATCATGAAGATGCAACAGCAGACGATATCGCATCGATGCAGGCGCTGGCTGAGTCCGCGACGCGGGCTGGAGCGCTTGGATTTTCGACTTCACGGACTGTCTTCCACCGCAACATTGACGGAAATGCAATTCCAGGCACTTATGCCAGCGCTGACGAGTTGATTGCGATCGCACAAGGCATTGCTGAAGGCGGTGGTGCTGTCATCGAAGCGATTTCATCCTCCTCCATTGGTGATATGGCCGCCTTTGGAGGCGAACGCTTCACCGCAGAACAGGAAATGGACATGTTGGCAATACTTTCGCGGTCGAGTGGATTGCCGGTGACTTTCACAACAATCCAGACGCCAGACCATCCGAATGACTGGCGTAAGGTTTTACATTTTGCCAGCTTGCAAAATACCAACGGCGCGTGCCTACGCCCACAGGTCGCGTCCAGACAGATCGGTTTGCTCTCTGGCTTGACCGGCTATCACGGTTTTATGAACCGAGGTGTCTATATCGACGAACTGGCCTTTCTGCCCCTGTCTGAACGCGTGCAACGTATGCGTGACCCAGAGATGAAACGCAGAGTATTGGCGGATGTTGATCGTAACGTCCAAAATGCCGGGTCGATGGCAGCCCTAGCCAACGTCTTTTTGTTAAATGCGGAGAAACTCTATCCTCTGTGTGATGGGTTTGATTACGAACCCACGTCTGACGAATCTCTTGGCGCGCGTGCCTCGCGAACAGGTAAGGTCATCGATGAGGTGCTGTACGATTATCTGATTGAAAATGAGGGCACCGGCTTCGCGGCAATCCTGAGTGCAAACTATATAGAAGGCAATTTGGACGTTGTGCGTGAGATGTTGGCTCATCCGGAAACTGTTACAGGGTTAGCCGACGCGGGTGCCCATGTGAATCTCATCTGCGATGGTTCAATGCCAACCACTCAGCTGAAACATTGGGCAGGCGGGCGCACGCGCGGCGAAGCTTTCCCCATCGAATTCATTGTTGAAAAGCAAACCCGTCGCAATGCGCGGCTCTATGGCCTCAAGGATCGCGGGACATTAGAGGTCGGCATGCGTGCGGACTTAAATGTGATAGATATGTCAGCGCTTTCTGTCGCCATGCCTGTTTCTCATCGTGATCTGCCGGCAGGCGGCGCGCGCTTGCTGCAAAAAACTTCCGGCTACGAAGCAACACTGTTAAATGGTATTGTCACCCGGCGCAGTGATGAGGACACTGGCGCTCGACCAGGACGCCTCGTACGCGGCTAGTCCTTTAGCGAAAAATTCTCGACTGGGCACAGGGTATCCCCTTTGCTTACATGCAAGCCATTTGTCTGATTGCGCCCGTTTGTCTATGCGTATCGACTATTGCCGTCCTGATCCTATAAGGCCTGACGTTGATTCAGCGCTGCTGCATTGTCATGCAGGATCAGCTTTTGCTGGGCTAAATCAACACCATCCAGCTCATCAAAAATATCCTGCGGATGTTCCAGACCTTCCATATGGGGCCAGTCCGATCCAAACAGCACGCGATCTGCACCCATGTGTTTCGCCACGTCCGATATCTTGTCTTCCCAGAAAGGATTGATCCACACATGTTGACGGAAAAGTTCGGCAGGGTCCTGATCATAGTACTTCGGCATTCTGATTTTCGAGTGTTCCAGCTTGATGAAGAGATCCGCCAAAAAGCCGGAGCCGTTTTCGACAGAGGCGATGCGCAGGTTAGGGAATCGCTCAAAAAGTTTGTCGTAAGCGAGTGTGAGTAGAAAGTCGTAAATGGCTCGTTCGCCTATAAGGCCCGCGACTGTTGGCTTGCGTCCACCGCCCAGTGCTTGCAGCGCGGCGTTTCCACCGTAGCCATTTGCCGTGTAGTTATTGGCGCCGACATGCGCAACAACGCTGATTCCAGCTTCATTGACTCTTGCCCAGAAAGGGTCGAACCGCTCATCCGATGGCGCAAAATAACCGTCGCGCGTGCAAACAGCTGAAGGGCGCATCACTAGCACTCGTGCATCCCGTTCCAATGCCCACTCAAGCTCGCGACAGGCAAAGTCAACATCTGCAAGGGTAATGTATGGCGCGGCAAACAGTTTATCTTTGTAATTTAGCCCCCAGTCGTCTTCGAGCCAGCGGTTAAAACCCTCAAACAGGGTACACATCGCATCAATATCATGAGTCATGGGTTCTTCGTATAGAATTCCGGCAGTCGGGAAGAGCCAGGCACCTTCAAGTCCCTGTTCCTTGATTCGCTCTACTCTTAAGTCCCGGTTCATATATTCAGGCGGCATGGGCTCAAGTGATCCATGCGTCAGTTCAATGAACGTCTTACCTCTTGGATTACCGTGGTAGTACTCGCGCAGTACGCCTGGTTTAGAAACCGGATTGAACGTTGGATTCCCAACAGAATGATTGATCTTGCCGGCGACCAGGTGATGTCTCTTACCGTCCTGCATTTCGATCCACTGGACACAACGCCTCTGCATACGAATTGGTACGTAACGCGTGAAAGCGTCCTCTGCTTCGTAGTAGTGGTTGTCTGCATCGAACATCAATCCGTCATATTTTTCTGTGCTAGTGTTCATTTTGAAACTCTGAGTTAATTCTCTATAACTAGTATCATGTTAATTATCGACAATGTAAACTTACTCCGCTCATTGAACTGGTAATGGTGCCTAATTAGCTTTCGCTTGAAATGATTTTGTGTTTATGCCAAAGGATGCACAATCCATTGCGATAAATTAGTATCATAGAATGGGTGTATTTCAACTCATCTTTTTATGAAAAAATAAACCCTACCGGACAAACAGGAGTCGCATCATGTATCCAGGAAACTGGTCGAAAGTATTTCCTGACAAGCCCGCGGTGGTGCATGCAACCTCGGGTGATTCAATCACGTACCAACAGCTGGATGATCGTTCAAATCAACTGGCACAGTTAATGTGGCAGCAAGGGTTACGCAAAGGCGATCATGCCTCCGTATTTATGGAGAACAATCTGGCGTTTTTTGAGGTTGTCTGGGCAGCTTTACGCTCTGGTCTGTACCTTACTACGGTGAATCAATACCTCACCGATGACGAAGCGGCGTACATTGTCGATAACTCGGAATCAAAGGTACTCATCACCTCTAATAAACTATCGGAGGTTGCGGTAAACCTGCCAGCACTTTGCCCCGGCGTAGAACGCTGGCTGATGGTAGACGGGGCAGAAGAGGGATATGAGGACTATACGCAAGCCATCTCCTCGTTCCCTGCGGAGAACCTCGACGAAGAACCAGCAGGAGCTTTCATGTTGTATAGCTCTGGCACCACAGGCCGTCCCAAGGGTATTCTCAAGCCTCTACCCTCCTGCTTAATTTCAGATAAAGGCAATGGCCTCGGCGGTTTACAAAAAAGCCTCTGGGGAGTCGATGAAAATTCAGTCTATCTGTCACCCTCACCACTCTATCATTCCGCACCTGCTGGTTTTTGCATGGGTGTCCAGGCACTCGGCGGTACAGTGATCATGTTACCCAAATTTAACGAATTGCAGGCTTTACAGGCAATTCAGGATTACAAGGTGACCCATAGCCAGTGGGTACCGACCATGTTCAGCCGCATGTTAAAGATTGATGAAGCAGAACGGAATGTATTTGACCTGTCATCCCAGAAGGTCGCTATTCATGCCGCAGCACCCTGTCCTCGTCAGGTAAAACAGGCGATGTTTGATTGGTGGGGGCCTATTATTTATGAGTACTATGCCGGCACTGAAGGTAACGGTCTGACCCATGTGACACCGGAAGCCTGGCTGAGCAAACCGGGTACGGTCGGCCAGGCTGTTATCGGAACCATTCACATTTGTGATGAGGAAGGTAACGAACTTCCCAATGGCGAGCCGGGGTTAGTTTATTTTGAATTGCCCCGCATGCCATTCAGCTATCTTAAAGACGATGACAAGACCAGAAATGCACAACATCCGAAACATCCGAACTGGAGTGCGTTGGGTGATGTTGGATATGTTGATGACGAAGGTTTCCTTTTCCTGACGGATAGAGCGACATTTATGATCATCTCTGGAGGGGTCAATATTTATCCGCAGGAAATCGAAGACGCGCTCACGATGCATCCAAAAATTGCCGACATCGCGGTATTCGGGGTGCCCAACGAAGAAATGGGTGAAGAAGTTAAGGCAGTGGTGCAACCGGCAGAGGGGATTGAGGGTGACGATGCACTGGCAGCTGAATTGATGGCTTATGCTCGAGAGCACGTTGCACATTACAAGTGCCCCAAGAGTATTGATTTTGAACCAGAATTACCGCGCCTGCCAACGGGCAAACTGTATAAGCGGCTGCTCAAGGATAAATACTGGGGCAAGAAAGACACCCGCATTGTTTGACGCGCCGCATGTTTAACCTGCTTGGGAGCGTGCGAACATAAATTTAACTGTAAAGGCTCTACATGACTGATTTTCCAACTCCTAATATATCGAACGACTTAACGGGTCACGTAGCGCTTGTGACGGGTACTACTTCCGGTCTGGGTCGCAGGTTTGCGCTTGTGCTTGCTGCCAGTGGCGCCAAAGTTGCACTGACTGGCCGGCGCGCCGATCGGCTGGATGAGCTGGCGGAGGAAATTCGTGCGGCCGGGGGTGTCTGCGAGCCCATTCCGTTCGACATCACACAGTCTGAACAGATTAACGAGGTGCTCGACAAGGCAGAAGCTGCGCTTGGGTTGGTTGACTTGCTGGTCAATAATGCCGGTATTCCCGATGCGCAAAGAGCGCACAAAATGGATGAGGATCTTGTTGATAGGGTGTTCTCAACGAACCTGATTGGACCGTGGAAACTTTCCTGTGAAGTTGCGCGCCGGCTCATCGCTGCAGAAAAGCCCGGCCGTATGGTGAACATCTCTTCTGTTGGTGCATTTAATTATAGCGGTGGTGGAGCAGCGTTGTACTCGGTAACCAAGTCTGCAATTGTGCGCATGACAGAGTGTCTCGCTGTGGAGTGGGCTCGATACAATATTAATGTCAACGCGATTGCACCGGGCGCATTTGCGAGCGAGATGATGGACGGCATGCTCGAGCGGATTGGCGACATCACAAAACACTTTCCCCGCAAACGTCTCGGTGATCCTGCGCAGATGGACTCGACCCTGCTTTACCTGATGTCTCCGGCTTCAGAATGTGTCACCGGCACTTTTATTAAAATAGATGATGGTCAGGGTTCACGTTAGCTTATGAGTAAAAGAGGGCGTTGAAATCCCGAATAAAACACACTGGAAAGGTTAAGAAAAAAGGAAGCATTTATGATCAGTGAACAAAATCAAAGCTTTCGAGCCGATGTTAAAAAATGGATAGAAGATAACTTTCCGAGCACGCTGGCGGGTGAGAATCCTGCAGTGGTTGGTTATGCCGCAGATCTTAAAAACGATCATGATCTCTGGCGCCAGCGGCTGGCAGACAATGGCTGGGGTGCACCAACTTGGCCCAAAGAGTATGGCGGTGCAGGTTTAGGTCAGCGTGAAGAGCGCATTATTACTGACGAACTATCCAACGCGAATGCATTCAATCCAATTCCCACAATCGCACTGATGGGTGTGACAATGGTGGGACCAACAATTCTCGACTACGGCACTGAGGATCAGAAGAAAAAGCACCTCGTACCCATCGCAAGAGGTGAAGTGACATGGTGTCTTGGATTATCGGAGCCTGGCGCGGGTTCAGATCTTGCCGCGTTGCGCACTCGTGCAGTCGACAATGGTGATCACTATGTTCTCAATGGATCAAAAATCTGGACCTCGGGTGCACATCATTCGGATTGGTGTGGCGCTGTTGTTAGAACCGATCCTGATGCTAAAAAACGCAACGGTATCAGTTTTGTTCTGCTGCCTATGAACCAGGAAGGCGTTGAAGCGCGTCCGCTTAAACTCATTTCGGGTGCGTCGGCATTCTGTGAAACGTTTTTCAATGATGCAATCGCCGAAAAATCTGATCTGTTGGGCGATTTAAATGACGGTTGGAGCGTTGTTAAGCGTTTGTTACAACACGAAAGGCAAAGCCAGATTGGTGCACGCACGGCGGGCAGCAGATCGGAACGGATGCAGGATCTCGCCAGGCGTTACATCGGACTTGATGACAAGGGCATGCTTAACGACATCGATCTGAGGCAAAGGCTGGCTAACCACTTAATGGATCGACAATCGCATGCACTGACGCTTGCACGAATTGCTGCCGAATCAAAAGGTAACGTCGAAGTTTCTGCTGCCGCTTCAATACTGAAAAACTCAGCGACAAATGTTTCTCAAACCCGCGCCGATCTGACGCTTGAGATTATGGGCGACCAGGGCCTTGGCTGGGAGGGAGACGCGTTTGACCCTAATGAATTGGAAACCGTAAGAAGTTGGCTTTATGGCATGGCAGCTTCCATAGCCGGTGGTTCATTTGAAATCCAATACAACATCATTTCCAAAAACATTCTGGGCTTACCTGAAACCACCCAGCAAGGCTGAACCCTTTTTAGGAGCATAAACATTGGCGGCACTGACTAGCGAGCAATCATTGATGCGTGACCAGGCCAAAGCCTGGGCAAGCAAACAAGCACCTGTGCAAAAGTTTCGCGCTATGCGCGATAGTGGAATCGAACAACGCTTTGACGATCAAACGTGGTCGGAAATCATTGAGATGGGATGGACCGGCATTCTGATACCGGAAGAGTATGGCGGTTCTGATCTTGACTACCTGACATTTGGTGTTGTGCTTGAGGAACTCGGACGGCAGCTTACAGCATCGCCGCTGTTTGCTTCCGCTCTGGTCGGCGCGACAGCGCTGAACATTGCGGGCAGCGATATGCAGAAAGAGACGTTTTTACCCAAAATCGTCGACGGCAGCGAAATCCTGACACTTGCGATTGATGAATCGCATCGACATGCGCCTGCCGAGGTTGCGCTAACAGCCCAAGCGACTGCAACAGGATTCAAACTGAACGGTAAAAAAGGCTTTGTCCTGGAGGGGATGGCGGCGACAACGTTCATTGTGGCCGCGAGAACCAGCGGAGAACCGGGGGATACAAACGGTATTACTCTTTTCCTGGTCTCAGCCGATAGTTCAGGTTTACATCGCAAATTTATCTCTACAGCGGACAGCCGAGGTTACGCCAACATGACTTTCGATGATGTTGAAGTTTCCTCAGACGCAGTTTTGGGAGAGGTAGATGAAGGTTGGGAAGCGCTCGATGCAATTCTTGATCGTGCGCGCGCTGGTCTCGCGGCAGAAATGCTTGGGTGTGCTGCACAGGCATTTGATATGACATTGGATTACCTGAAGACAAGGGAGCAATTTGGTCAACTAATTGGTTCCTTTCAGGCACTTGGGCATCGTGCCGCGGCACTGTTCACCGGGCTGGAACTGGCCCGTTCATGCGCTGAGGCCGCACTCCAGGCGATCGATGAAGAAGTGGATGACATCCCGCAAATGTGTTCACTCTCTAAATCACGTTTGAGTGACTTTCTGCACCAAATGTCGACGCAGCTTATCCAGATTCATGGTGGCATCGGTATGACCGATGAGTTTGATGCAGGCTTCTATTTGAAACGTGCAAGAGCGTTGGAAGTTCGTTATGGCAATGCGGGCTTTCACCGGGATAGATATGCGTCAGCGCTTGGGTTTTGAGATGCCGCATTTTTCAATGTAATAAAGATACGCCCTCATCTTTCCCGTTTAGGACCAGCAGTGAAACAAGTTGTTCTGAAAAATAATCAGCTGAGTTTTTCCGCGTTCGAAGACGGCAAAGGCCCTCTGGTTTTGTGTTTGCATGGCTTTCCAGACAACTATCATTCCTATGATCAACAAATCCCTACTCTCGTAGACGCGGGCTATCGTGTTGTTGTACCGATGCTGCGAGGCTATGAACCGCAATCACAACCCGGCGATGGCGACTATCATCTAAATAATATGGTGGAAGATGTTATTACCTGGATTGATCAGCTTGGCGAAGAGAAAGTCCACCTGGTAGGGCATGACTGGGGGGCTGTGATCGGCTACTTAACGGCAAATACCGCTCCTGAGCGCCTTCTATCTCTAACCACCTTCGCCATCCCGCCTCTTCAAGGCCTGCCTATAGCCATTCGCAAGAACCCAGGGCAAGTCCTCTTATCCTGGTACACGATGTTTTTTCAATTGCGGGGCATTTCAGACTGGTGGGTAGAACGATCAGACTGGAGGTTCATCGAAAAGCTTTGGCGCGACTGGTCCCCTACCTGGGATATCCCCCAGGCGACTCTAGATTCCATCAAACAAACATTTGCACAACCAGGCGTGAAAAAAGCAGCCCTGACTTACTACCGGCACAGTTTTGACCGCCGTAGTGACAAAGCTAAAGACATTGCACACACCATGGCGCTTAAAACACTTACACCTACACTGGTTGTCGGTGGTTGGGACGATGGCTGTATGTCAGCCAAACTATACGATACGGCAGCACAGCCTGGTGATTTTCCTGGGGGGCTCAAAGTGGAAAGAATTCAAGGTGCGGGTCACTTTGTGCATCAGGAAAAAGCTGAAGTAGTGAATAAACTGTTGGTTTCCTGGTTTGAACAACACAATGTTTAAGACCTAACGGCAGGCGGTTTTGATAAAGATTAAGTCGCCTTGAACCTCACCGGCATAGATGTCACGCCACAGATAAAATTGCTCGGCATCCAAGTGACCTCGCCACTGAGTTCAATCTCATCCATGCGCGTCAACACCTCGCGCAGAATGGCGTCAATTTCCAAGCGCGCAAACCACTGACCCAGGCAGACGTGATGGCCGCCACCGAAGGCGATGTGCTTATTGTTGGTGCGGGTGACGTCCAGGTCATGCGGTCGGTCGAATACTTCCGGGTCGCGATTGGCTGCGCCGTAGTACATCACCACCTTGTCACCGGCCTTGATGTTCTGATTTGCGATCCTGGTGTTCTTTGTCGCCGTCCTGCGCATGTAGGTGACTGGAGAGGTCCAGCGGAGCAGTTCATCGCGTGCTGATGGCAGGTATCGGTCCACATCAGAGCGCAGTAGCGCCAGCTGCTCCGGGTGTTTCATTAGCTCATACATACCGGTGCCAACCAGATTGCGTGTCGTGTCGCCGCCCGCATCAATCAGCAGTAGAAAGAACAACAGGAACTCCATGTCGGTCAACTGACGACCGTCGACTTCCGCGGCCAGCAACTTGCTGGCCAGGTCGTTACCTGGGTTCGCGCGCTTTTCGGCCATTACTCCTGCACCATATTCGAACATCTTCGTTACCGCCTCTGGGATCGCATTGTCTGGCTGTGTCTCAGGGGCGGAGTGGATGATTTCGGTAAGCTTGTACAGTTCGCGGCCATCCTCCAGCGGCAAGCCGACGAGATCAGCAATCACATAGCTGGGCATCTCCCCCGCGATTTCATTGATGAACTCGCATTCGCCACGGTCAATCACCCGATCGACGATCAGTTTGGCAAGATCATTGATGCGATCGCTGTAGTTGCGCACCGGTCCCTGGGTAAACTCCCGGCTGATTAATTTGCGGTAGGCCGTGTGTTCCGGCGGGTCCATCACCAGCATCATCTTCTCGTTCTTTGGGGCCCCAGGCAGGCTGCCATCGGGGTCGGCTATCATGATGGTGGGTTCGCTGCTGAATAATTCGGCATTGCGCCCGATTGCGTGCACATCCGCATGTCGCGTAATAGCCCAGTAGCCACGTCCCCTGGGCTCATCGTGAAAGTACACAGGTTCATTTTCGCGCAGCCAGTCGTACTGATTGTGGGGATGTCCGCCTGAGAAGCTTTGCGGGTCGAGTAAGTTGATTTCCATGGCTGCCGCTCCTGTTCCTAAATCACCTTAACCCGGTCGGTTGGTTCGACCTTTAAATAAGTGCGACGGTCGAATTTTTTCATACTCTTCCACCACCGGCGCAAACTCTTCCGGCGTGCTGGCGTGAATGATGATGCCATCGGCACCCGCCTCGAATTGGGTGAGCCATGCTTGCGCGCATTGCTTTGCATTGCCTACGGCCGCAGGCCGCCATTCCTGTGGAATCACTTTTTCAACTTCAGCCAACTGCTCGGTGGTGGCAACGCTGTCAATCAAACCACCCACACTTCGAACAGCAGCTGACTGCCGAAAAGACTCCAGTGCTTCCGAATCCCAACCATTTATATTTGCCAGCATGTCGCCATAACCCGGAATCTGCAGATAAGTCGCAAGACGGGCGACAATATATTTCAGATAAGTCTCGTCGCTGACGTTGCAGCAGGTTGCAAAAACCGACCAGTTCTTAACAGTACCGGGCTCGCGTCTTGCTGCTGCTTCGCCTGTCCTTACCTGAGCAACCGCACCCGACAATGCCTTGTCATTCATAAACGTGTGCAAATGTGTGCCGTCATACACGCGACCCGCGTGTGCAAGACTTTTCGGACCGAAGCCGACATATAGAATTGGTAGAGCCTCATCCAAATACTCAGCGACTGACAAGACAGGATACTGACCAAGGGCGCCTTCATAGCCCTTAATTGTTTCTCCTTTCCAGAGTCTACGCATGAGATCGATAAAATCTCGCTCGCTCTCATAGTTAATGGGTTGCATGCCTCGTGCTCGCCAGCCTGCTGCGACGCCCTTGGCAAGTCCCAGCGCGAATCGGCCCTCTGACAATCGATGCAAAGTACTGCCAATCGACGCAGTTACCGTCGGGTGGCGTTTGTTGAGATTGGTTGCTGACGTACCAATGAATATCTCACTGGTCACAGCGGCAACAGCACCACAGATGGCAGAAATTTCCTTGTAGTCAGGCCGTTCAGAAATCATGATGTTACCGATGCCCAGGGCTTCAGCATCCTGCGCCTGTTTGAGGATATCTCGCGGTGAACGGGTATGCCCCGGCAAACCGTAAAAACCGAGTTCAGGGAACTTTGACTGATATTCCGGGTACATTTTTACCTCTAACCCAATCTGATTAACATAGTCGCGATATCCCTCTATCCCCGCGCGTCTTTGCCGATGCCGGAGAACTCAGGCTTGCGCTTTTCCATAAAAGACTGAACACCTTCCCTGAAATCACTGGTTTTCAGTGTTGCTTTTGTCATGCGATGCGCTTCCTTAAAAGACTCGGTAGGGTCTCTAAACAAGTCACGATAGAGCTGGCCCTTCATGCCTGCGATTGAGGCGGGCGAGCAGTTCGCTGCCAGGTCATTGATGTAGGCTATAGCCTCGTTTAACAGGTCTTCATCTGGGTAGACCCGGGTTGCCAGCTTCAGTTCTCTGGCTTCCTTGCCGTAAACTCTTCTACTAGACCACAAAATATCAAAGGCGGTATCCAGGCCGACCAGTTTGGGTAATATCCAAGCAGTACCTGCTTCGGCGATCAGCCCGCGTTTAGCGAAGGAAGAAGAGACATATCCTGATTCGCCGAAAAACCGCATGTCACAAAACAAGGCGCAAGGTAATCCAACGCCTGCAACTGCGCCGTTAACCGCAGCAATTATTGGCTTCCTAATGGTGGCGAAGTAACTGTAGGCGCCTCTACCAAACCCTTCAGGCATTGTTTCCGGAGCTCCCGGATTAGCGTCAAAGGATACGTCCGTCTCATCACTCTTTGAAAAGCCTCCCTGCGCTTTAAGCTTCTGCAGTTCCCTCATATCGGCTCCAGCACAAAATGCCTTGCCAGCGCCGGTAATAATGATGCCGAAAACCTCCTTGTCATCTTCAGCTTCTGCCATTGCATGTCTGAGTTCTGTTGCCATGGCTGGTGTCCATGAGTTCATCTGCTTCGGTCGGTTGAGCGTGATGATGGCTGCACTACCGCTGATTTCGTAGGTAATGGCGGAATACTGAACCACAGTCATATTGCGACCCCTGCTTTTATCGACTTGAGTATGCATAGTATCTATGATACTGGTTACTACAAGTAAAAAAACTAACGAATTCAAATGGAGTTGGAATTGCAGGAGCTGTGGCGGACTTAAATGGAATTTCCACTGCGGCATTGAGTTTCAACGCCTAAAATTCAGGAAAGATCAATGACCCACTATGACCTTATTATTCGCAATGGCCAGGTAGTAGACGGTACCGGGACGCCTGCGATAGAGGCCGACATTGCTGTTTCAGATGGGAAAATTGCAGCAATGGGCCGCCTGCTGAAGGGTACCGCAGCGCAAGAGATAGATGCTGTTGGCATGTTTATAACGCCTGGGTTTGTTGATGTTCATACACACTATGATGGCCAGGCAACGTGGGATACGCATCTGAATCCATCGTCAAGCCTGGGCACGACTACCGTTGTGATGGGTAACTGCGGCGTTGGTTTTGCGCCCTGTCGTTCTGAAGATCGCGAAGTCCTGGTTAAATTGATGGAGGGTGTAGAAGAAATACCCGAGTCTGCGATGCATGAAGGCTTGCCCTGGACGTGGGAGACGTTCCCCGAATTCCTCGATTGCATCGAAAGTCGTCCCCACGATATTGATCTGGCTGCGCTGGTACCACACGGTCCGCTTCGAGTTTATGTCATGGGCGAACGAGGCGTTAATCGAGAAACTGCAACAGAAGATGACATCGCCAAAATGAAAGCGCTTCTGGCAGAAAGTGTTGCCGCCGGTGGCCTGGGGTTTTCAACCTCGCGAACACTTGTGCATCGCTCCAGTACCGGTGCCTACGTGCCAACCTACCAGGCCGTTAGTAGCGAACTTAAACAAATCGCACAGGCATTATCTGGCGATAGCGGGCACGTCTTCCAGTTCATCGCCGACTGGGAAGATGCCGAAGACGAATTCAGTATCCTCAGGGACACTTCTGCCAGCACCGGGGCAAAAGGCACGTTTACACTGCTGGATATTAACGGCAGACCAGACCTGTGGCGCGACCACCTCAATCGCATTGAGGCTGCACAGGCCGACGGCCTCGATATTCGCGGCCAGGTACTTTCAAGACCAGTGGGCATCATGATGGGGCATCCGGCTTCGATGAGCCCATTTTATGATCGACCCAGTTTTAAAGCGCTGAACTCGTTGCCCTGGAATGAAAAAATAGCGGCATTACATGAGCCCGAAACGAAGGCAAAAATACTTCACGAGTTGAATGAAAACCCACACATTTTTGTAAAGCTTGTCAGCAACAACTACAAGAACATGTACGTCCTTGACGACCCCATTGAGTACTTGCCTGGCCCAGAACGTTGCATCGCTAATCTGGCTGCCGCGGAAAATAGAGATGCCGAAGAATGGCTATACGACTACTTTTTGACTGATAACGGCAACGCGCTTATTTATATTCCCGGTGCCAACCTCTCGGGCAATATACCTGAAATGTTAGCCCACCCTAACACGGTGGTCGCGTTAGGTGATGGTGGCGCGCATGTCGGATCCATTTGCGACGCCAGTGCCAACCTTTATCTGTTGAGTAAATGGGTAAAAGAGCAGGGGCGCTTCAGTTTGGAACAGGGCATCCACATGTTAACGCGGCAGCCGGCAGAGCTATATTCTCTGAATGACCGTGGCGTGCTGGCGCAGGGCATGAAGGCCGACATCAACATCATTGATATTAAACACCTTAAGTTGCACACACCGCACATCGTTTACGACTTGCCTGCGGGTGGCAAACGTTTCCTGCAACGCGCTGACGGCATTAAATCAACAATCGTGTCGGGTGAGGTCATATACCAGGATGGTGTGGCGACCGGTGCGTTGCCCGGAAAACTGATCCGAGGTCAGCAAGTAGACCCACGGACCTGAGTCTCATGAGTTTGATTGACTTGCATTTTAAACCATGATACTGGTTTGTCAGCGCGGGAGCGTGATTCTGTTTACATCTGGTGGTTAGGCCTGGTTGCAAAGAAGGGAGGAACTTTTAGGAAAGGAGCTTTGAGGAGAGGAACTTTGAGGAGAGGAACTTTGAGGAGAGGAACTTTGAAAAATCCAACGTTACAGCTTGCCTATGCGGCAATGCTACTTGTCTTGCCACAACTGGCCAGCGCGGCCACCATCGAAGAAATTGTAGTGACGGCGCAGAAGCGCGCAGAAAGCATCCAGGATGTGCCGATCAGCGTATCAGCATTTGATACCGAATCCATGGAGGCGCGGCAGATCGATACCTTCAGCGATCTACAATTCAATGTGCCGAACGTGTCCTACTCCAAGACCTTTTTCAGCGGTAACAACTTCCAGATCCGCGGCATCGGCAACGTGCTGGTGGCGGCCAGCGCCGACTCCGGGGTGGCCATGCACATCAACGACGTGTACCTGAATTCGCCGCGCATCTTTGAAACTGAATACTACGATATGGAACAGGTGGAAATCCTTCGCGGCCCGCAGGGAACACTATTCGGCCGTAACGCCACCGGCGGTGCGGTGAACGTGAAGACCGCAAGACCGGAAATAGGTGAGCTGTACGGAGACATCGAAGGACAGTTCGGCAACTTTGACCACAGGAAGATCAAGGGAGCAATCAACATTCCTATGGGTGATAAGGTGGCCGGGCGCATCGCGGGTATCTTCCTGGATCGCGAAGGCTATTCTGAGGACATAATCACAGGTGATGACATAGACGGCCGCGACCAATGGTCAGTGCGCGGTTCGCTGCGGTTCGACATCGCCGACGGCACGCGGCTGGACATCATCGGCCACCGGTTTGAAGAAGACAGTAACCGTTCGCGCAGACAGAAACAGGTGTGCAACCGCGACCCCAGTGCAATTCTCGGCTGTACACCGGACGGCCTGAGTTTTGAGCCGGTCAACGGGTTTGCCACTGCAGGTACCTTGTTGGCTTCCAACTTACTGCTCGGCCCGTTAGGTCTGTTTAACTTTTTCGATCAAACGTCAACTGCGGACAACCCCAGTGATTTGCGTAAGCAACGTATTCTGTATCAACCGGAATATGAATCGGAAGAAGACTTCCTTATGGCGGAGTTTTCCCACGATCTGACGGATACTGTCAACTGGACCTTGATTGCTGCTATGCAGGAAACCGAAATCTTCTCTCGGCAGGGAGACGGTAATGCACCCGGTATAGGCGCGGCCAATATTCCCGCTGGTTTTTGTGCTTTTTCCCCAGCGGCCTGTACCTACTTTGGCTTGCAAGAAGGGGGGGCGGCATTTATCTCCACCGTGCCTGATGGCGATACTTCCATCGGCGCGATCTCCGGGGGCAATGAATTCGCGCTCGATTCACGCAACGCATCAACAGATTTATCGAGTATCGAAGCGGAGCAGTGGAGTGTGGAAACCCGCTTTACCACCTCGTTTAATGGCCCGGTAAACTTTCTGCTTGCCGGTTATTACATGGAGTATGAAAACAAGGCGGACTACTTTGTACAGGCGCCAAGTCTTGACTATTCAGCGATGGTTCTGGCTCATGGCGCCGGCCCCTTTGTAGGAAGTCCCGATGCCTTCCTGTCTTTGGCGCCGGGTTTCTTCAGAAGCGAAACAGATCCGTTTGAGCTTGAAAGCACAGGCATCTTTGGTGAGATGTACTGGGACATTAACGATTCTCTCAAGCTGACCTTTGGGTTGCGATATACCGAAGATGAAAAATTTGTAGCTGACCGGCAGATATTTCTAAGCGTGCCGGTGCTTGTTGATGTGGCCAGCGATACCACCACTTTTCTGGGCTCTGATGGGTCTGCCACACCGGTAACTACCATAGACCAACTCATCAATGCTGCTGCCATTGCGGGCGACTATGATGGCGATCCGAACGTACCCGGCGGTCAGGCGTTCCGTGAGGACGATATCAGTTTTGAAGAAGTCACTGGCCGCATCGTGTTGGACTGGACTCCGGATATAGATCTCACTGATGAGACCCTGGTCTACTTCTCATACTCGCGTGGCTATAAGGGTGGTGGTATCAATCCGCCAATCGACACTGACCTGTTCCCGAATACGCCCACGTCTTTCGATCCAGAAGAGATCGATGCCTTTGAAATCGGCACCAAAAACACCTTCTGGGATCGCCGCGCACAGTTGAATGCATCCATTTTCTACTACGATTATTCTGGTTTACAAATCGGCAAGATTATCAACCGGACATCCTTGAATGAAAACACCGACGCTGACATCTACGGCGCAGAAGTGGAGATGCTGCTGCAGCCAACGGAAAACTGGCAGTTTAATGCGCAACTGTCGTATCTGGATACCGAGTTGGGTGAAACTGAGACGATTGATCCGCGTGATCCTACCCAGGGGCGTCAGGACGTCACCCTGATCAAAGACTTTGTCGATGCCTCCAACTGCGTGGTTGAGTGGAATGGTCAGGTACCCTTTTCAGACAACCCAGTCGCGACGGGGCTGCTTGCTGGCGCCTATTTTCCAACCGGTGAAGACCTGGGCGATTTTGGTGGCGTACCCGGAACGGTTATTCCTACCACGCCGAATATTCCCGATAGTGCATTCTCGTCGTGCGCGGGGGTGCGAGCAGTTGCCGGAGCGCTTGGCTATAACTATCTTGATAGTGTCGGGGTCAATCTGAAAGGCAATGAACTATTGAGCGCGCCAAAGTTTACCGCGAGCCTGGGAGGCCAGTACACCTGGTTCATGGACAGAGGCATGTCTCTGACGGCGCGGGTGGATTATTACTGGCAGGATGAATTTTATAGCACTACCTTTAATCGTCCCCAGGATCTCTACGATAGCTGGGACATCATTAACGCTCAGGTGCAGCTGAACGGCCCGGACGATCGCTGGTTCGCACGAGCGTTTGTGCAAAATCTCGGTGATGAAGACGCCGTCACGGGTACCACTCAGGGCGATCCTTCCACTGGACTGGGCACCAGTTTGTTTCTCATTGAGCCGCGGTTGTACGGCCTTACTCTGGGTATTCGTTTGAACTAACCCGAGTGGATCCGGAAGTGAACCCAAAGCCCATCGAGTGCGTCGAGGATATCTCGGCGCACTGGATGACGGCTGCGTTAAGACATGCCGGGTTGCAGGCTGATATTACTGCGCTCTCTTATACGCCTATCGGCACTGGGCAGATGGCGGATAGCTTTCGCTTGGACCTTGTTCACAAATCAGCAGACGCACCTGCACATCTGCCGCGCAGCGTGGTGGTGAAGATGCAGGCAGAGGACGAACTCAGCCGGCAGGCAGGTGCCGGTGGTGCCTACAATTCCGAAGTACGTTTCTATACCGATTTGGCGCCAACGCTGGCAATACGAACGCCGCGCTGCTACTACGCTGTCGGTCCTGACAGCGATTGCCGCTTTGCCCTGGTGCTGGAGGATATGGCGCCGGCGGAGCAGGGTGATCAGCTGCTCGGCTGTGATGTCGAAGCCGCGCGTGGTGCCGTGCTCAACTTGGCCGGGCTGCACGGACCGTGTTGGTGTAACCCTGAGCTGTTGGGCACGGTGTGGCATCGTTCGCCGGCCGAGAAGGATGTGTTGGGGGCCACGGTGCAGGACAGTACAGCGCGCTTTGTCGAGCATTATCGCGAACGCATCTCGCAACAGGATGTATCTGTGTTGCAGGCATTTGCGCCGAAATGCGGTGCCTGGTTGCACAGGCGCAGTGAGCGCTTTGCGCCGGTACACGGTGATTACCGTCTGGATAATCTTCTGTTTGGGCCGCACGCGGATGCCGGTGTTGAAGTCGCTGCTGTCGATTGGCAGACGCTTGATATCGGACTGCCTGGCCGGGATCTGGCTTACTTTCTTGGCAACAGTCTGATACCGGAAGAACGGCGTCTATGCGAAAAGACTTTAGTACGGGCTTATTACGACGCCTTAATGGGATACGGTGTTACAAACTATACATGGGAGCAGTGCTTTGAAGATTACCGGTACGGTCATTTTCAGGGCTTGATGATTACCGTGCTCGCCGCGGTAAGTTTATCCCATACTGAGCGGGGCGATGCGATGTTCATGGCTATGTCATCACGTGCCTGTGAAGCGATCCGGGATCTTGATAGCCTGGCGCTACTTTAGCTCCGCATCAAGAAGCACACATGGCCATCTGATATTGGCGTAAATCCATGCGTCGTAAATCATGTGGCTAGTGCTCTGTGTAACTAGCTACTCGAATGCTGCTCCCAATATTTGTCCTTCAGTAATCGCTTGTAGAGCTTGCTGGTTGGACGTCGGGGAAGTACTTCGACAAAGTCGATACTGCGTGGACATTTGATGTGGCTTATCCGGGCGCGCGCGTACTCGATGAGTTCTGCTTCCAGAACTGCTCCTGCGGCACTCATGTCTACTGGCTGAACGACAGCCTTAACCTCTTTGCCAAATTTCTCGTCATCATGCAGGTACTCAAACTTCGGCCCGCCTTCAAAATAGATTCCACCCGTCTCGCCGACTGGCTGTTCTTCATGATTATCATCCAGAATATGAATCTGGCATCCCAATGCCCGGCCAACGGAACCCTTGTGAGCGAGTCATTCTTCAGAAGTGATTGCGGTTGAGCCATTGGCCTCTGTGCCGCCGTAATACTCATAAACGATAGGCCCCCACCATTTGACCATCTGTTCTTTTATAGCCACCGGACATGGTGCGGCTGCGTGTATCGCAAGCTTATTGCTGGAAAGATCAAGCCCTGATCTGGCTCAGCAGGGAGCTTTAACATGCGAACGAACATAGTTGGCACCCACTGACTGTGAGTTATCCTGTGTTTCTCAATAAGCTGCAGGCCCTGTTCGGCATCAAAATGTTCCATGATGACGCAGGTCCCACCATAACGCGGACGCACATAGTGAAAGCCAGCGGTGCAGCATGTTAGAGAGGCGCGGGAGAGAGATAAATCGC